TGTGGTAGTCGGTATATCGCTCTAAGAATGAAGTCTGGCTTCTTTTTTTGAGAAGTATTAATGTCGTGGCATACGTAGGAGGGTCTTGTGTTAGACCAGTCGCCGTACCCTATCTCGACGCCAATCTTGGTATGGTTGTGCCGCGAATAACAATTGAAGTGGGAAGAGAGGGTAGATCTGACATTGCGCAGGATCGGATCGTTGTAACACAATTCGCGCGTACATCACTAACCCCTCCCCTCTGCTCTGTGGACCTGTGCAGATTCGATGAGAGGAACTTCAGATGCATTTTGTACACCCCTCATCCATACTACACCCCCTGTTATCAAAAGTTTACTCTAGGTCGTACTACGATTGGCTCACAAATCCACGTTTTGTGCTTCAGGAATGCGCACAACGGGACATCATTTCGAAAGACTGACACCTTTCAACCCTTTTCGTCACTTATTGGTTCCTCAGTGGGATTCTACAGCCTATAAATTTATCCTTTTACATTTCTGATTTAAGTTACGTAGGTTATAGCGGTCAGTTTGAGGGTGTATGTTGCGTAGTGTTGCCCAAGTACACAATAGTTCCGCCGACCTAGATTTATAAGCTCTACCCTTGCCGATTGCCAACACCTTGATTGCAATAGGTGGGCCGTTTTCACCATCTGAGCAGCACCGTCCCATGAAACCCCAAAACCACTTCCCGGTGACTAGACCTACAGTGGCTAAAATAGGTCATACTTATTCAACAGGCTCAAAATGTGCCTCAATGTGAGGCCATGGGTTAACAGTTCTGCTAATTCTTTTTTAAATTTTATGAAATGTAAATATTATTTCCACGTCTCGGCCATTTCACGACTTGTCGTTGTTACCTATGGCTCATTGTGCTGGTAAATATGACATCTTTGGCTGTAGACCGTCAATGTTATAAGAAACCGACTAGCGAGCTCTCGATTCTCCTTTACCTCTGTCGGTCAGGTTGGACCCTCCAAGCGTGGTCGACCCCTACCACGTTGAGTTCGTCGATCGGGTCACGCCCTGTTAGACTAGACAAAATTGGCAGGTGACTGACTGGGTCGGGTTAATCCCCGGTCAGACTGTTGTTGTGCACTATGGTCAAAACCGCGTGCTTCACCGAGATTCAGACTGCACCAATCGCATCCATACTTTTTACTATGCATGCACTCTTCTATCAGTCCGTTGACTCTGCGTAGCCTATTCAGACTTTCGCAGCGGTGTTTGGTGTTGGCACAATGTTCAGCTTGTTTTGAAAAGGCTGATCAATACTCATGGCCTAATAGAAAAAGTCACCCTTAGCCTTTTAAGTCCTCAACTCGTGACGTCTGTTTCGTATACGACTATAGCCTCTTTCCTCTTACTCATGCTAAACTGTGTTTACAGTATACGACGAAAATGTAGACTGTAAAATTACATTTATAAATGTTGAAGGGTGTCAAAGAAACCTCTTTAAAGTTGCCAATCTTTGGGGCCGTCTTCACTGTTTAAGGCATAACTAGTCTGATGTTATTGGGGTGAATTGGCGTTCCACTATGCGTTCATAAACTATCTGCAGACTTGGTCAATGCGTCCCGGAGGCAGGCGACGGTTCCTTGGCTGATATTTACCGTGAACTGTAGATTCCTCGGAGGCCTCTACGCCATCTAACTAGATTTGCTGGCGCCAGCCTTGCAAGAGGAAGGGAACGGGTAGGTAGACAGTTATATGGAAGGATTCACGAAAGATCTACCGCGACATCAGCAGAGTTGCCCCAACTGGTTACGTGAATGCGGAGGTTGTTACCAACTTCAGTTTTTATTCGGCATATCGACTGTTAGCATTTTTCCGTTCTGCGCAGCCTAGGGGGATTCACCCGCTGCTCTCACGTGTTTCGTTTCGACTTCATACTTCTTTGAGGGGAGAGAGTGGCAGCTCGAATCGACACAATTGTCAGTTGACGGTAATTATGCTGGTAAATGTTTCGTACGCATTGTCATCCACTTCTGCACTACGAAAATTTTGCCCTTGCGGAGTGGATTTTAAAGCCACAGCTTTATGTTCAGAGGTCAATACGCAAGACAACACGGTCGCTCGGGATCATGCACAGCCGGAGATGCTTGATGCGCTAATTGATAGTGCTTAAATTCCTGTTGCTGATTATCCCCAGCCAACTCACCACACCGGGTCGAACTGGACACTGTATCATACGACACTAAT